CTCAAGTTATAACATCATTTTTACTCCCATTTCAAAGTTAGGTAATTTTTGCCAAATCACTGAAAGCTTAGGAACTCGAAGCGACAAATTATGTTTCTTCTCCCCTACACTTCGCTTTCCAGTATCATGACCAATGACAAACTCAAAAAGTGATGTCCTCAAATGTTGAACTCCAGACTTCGAAATCAAACCATCGAAATCAAATCGTCGAACCTCATTAACTGATCCTCGATATCGACTCCAAGCCTTCGTTCTTCAGTCAACCCAAAACATCCAAAACTTTCGATCTCTAAATCAAGTAACCAAATTCGAACGACTCCAAAACAAACTCACATACAGTCGAACTCTTTCATTCGATTTCCAAGCCAGAAACCCATTTCGAACATCAACAATCACTCGACCATATTCATCCCGTCAATACGTCAACATACCTAGTCTTCGAAGTCAACCAAACCTTTGCAATTTGATTCTTCGTTCTCAGCATCACATGTTCGACTTCAAGGCAATTAATCTCAAATCGAAACTACAAACCATATATGTGAGCCCGATTTTGACTTTCTCGTTATCAAAATTGTGTTGACGTTACCTATTCGACCATTGAACACGATCGTTCTCGATCCATCCATAGTCAAAGACAAAATCGATTCCAACTCAAAATGGACTTTCGATGTTAAAATTTATTCCTTCCAACACTTAGTTTTCTTCATTCGAAATCACTATTGTACAGAAAATGACTTCGAGTTTCAAATCAATATTCAAGTGTCAGAATGAAACTCATTTATTGTGTTCGACATCAAGAACATAAACCCAACCAATTTTCAAAATCGAACCCCAAATTAGGGATGTCAACGGGACCAAACGGGAGCAGAAATAGTTGCCCCCGCCCCCGCCCCTGGATCCCCCGCTGACATAGCCCCCGGTTACCTCCATCGCCCCCGGTCCCCCGGTTTATAGGCTTAAAAGTCGATTTTTTTTTGCTAAAAACTGTTTTGTTTTAGGCTAAAAAGACTATTTTTAATAACTTTAAAAGCTTAAAACATAATCTTTTAGAAACTACAATATTACGAATCCAACATTACAAAATGACAATTCTAACAATCTTACAAATATAAAATACTTATATGTCCAAAAATATATGATCAATTCACTACATCTTCAATATCCATTAATTGGAAACGGGAAAGTGAAACCTAACCTAAACCTAAAATTATAAATTCTATTTTGTATATGTATTTTATATTAAATATATATTTTTTACATAAATGTACAACTGGGGCCCCCGCGGGAGTATGGGACGGAAATACCGACTCCCGACCCCGGTCCCAAAAATAAACGGGGTTTAATTATGCCCCCGCTCCCGCTCCCGGTTTTTTTTAAAATTTAGTCCCGTACGGTATCGGGGTCCCACGGTAGCGAGGTCCCACGAGGGTTTTTGACATCCCTAGCCCAAATCAAACTTGATTTCGATCCATAGCCCATGTTCAACTCGTATCCAACGATTTCAACCTCCAATTCATTGATTCATCACTTAAAAATTGACTTTGACTTTTTCTCAGTTTGACATTTTTGATTTCAAAGTTCAACAAACAATAAATTGACGATTCTAATACCAAATTGCAGATCAAAAAGTGGTTATATCACTGTTCTTCACCTCCTTCAAGTGTTCTTGATCAAGTTCATCAAAATCAAAGATCAAATTTTCGATTTCCAAGCTATAACTTAGTCATAATCGATTTTGAGATTGAACACATAACATAAAATCGATTCGCAAGTTTAGAATCACAAACAAAACTAATCGATTTTTAGGATCAATAGGAAGAAAACGTAATACAAGAACTCGTTGAACAGAATACGAGTTAAGAACATCAGTGATGTACAATTGCTAAAGCATATGATGATGAACGATGAACAGTGATTTAAAGACAAACGGGTTTCAATAATCTTTGGGCTCAAATAATGAGTTAATTGGATCCAACAATTTATGGGCTCAAAATATGAAAAATGGACACGATTGGTAACTGTTCATAATAATGAATCTTAGATGAATATCACGTTGGGCTCAAAATGAATTAATGAACAGTAACCATAATTGATTTGTTTTGGGCCAAATTTTGATTAAAACGAACAATTGCAATTGAGAATCGAATAAAAAAAATAGGATTGGATCGGGTTGTTGGTGATTTGTTATCATCAATGATATTTAAGTGTAATGGGATTACTTTGTTGACCAAAGGTGATCTTGATAAATACTAAACAAGTAAGGAAGGTGTGGAGTACACACATGTTTAAGTTTGATCAAGTATCAAAGTACACTGTCATTTATGGGCGAAGCCCCTGAACGAACGGGGGTCCGGGGGCAGTGCCCTTGGGAGTGGGGTCCAAGGGGCGGTAGCCCCTGGCGGGGTCCAAGATAAAAAATGCATTAGAAATCCGGTTTTTTTAAGAATTGACCCATTTTGACTTTTATTCAAAATACCCGTTTTTGTGACCGTTTTTGGTGGTTTGTGACAGTTTTAAATTGTCATATGACAGTTTTTCAGACAAAGATCTAAAAAGTCAGTTTTGGTCTCATTTTCTGGTACTCACGAAAATATACGCTCTCATTCTCTTTCTTTGTCTCTGATTTTATCCGAGTCTTATCCAATTGAGTATTTGGGAGTACCACCCAAATACTTCGATTTGAAAGTGATAATCACGATTCTCATATTTCCATGTGTCATTAAACCCATATTTCCAACACGGGATTGATCAATAAAAATTTTTATTAGATCATAACAAATGGGTTTTTCAAAAAAAAATAAAATTGATCCAATTAGTCAAAATGATCAAAATATTCAAGAACGAAAGCACGAATCAAAGATTTTTAGAGAGATCATCGAGAGACTCGCCATTAACATTCCAATTGTGTTGAATGTAGCCAAACTGAGAACAGTTTCTTCAAAAAATCGCTTTGATCTTCGAAGACCCGCTCTGATACCAACTGATGTGAATTATGAGCATTTGATTTGGCATGTGGAATTAAAGAACACGAAGAACATGGTCATTTGGGTACTAAAAGATGTATTCGATCATAGGAATGAGTACAAAAAGGGATCAAAATCTAGTTTACATAAATATTTCACTCACTAGTCACAATGAACTACATGTCTCAAGTACACATCTACATGGTATGAAACCCACTTTATATAGAGGTGTTTACATGTCTCTCTCTCTCTCTCTCTCTATATATATATATATATATATATATATATATATATATATATATATATATATATATATATATATCATATCATATCATGTCAAAAGGCTACTCTACCACATGCAAGTAGGTCTACATGAGTCAAACCATTATAAAAGGTCATACATAGATAACTTTGCACCCCAATATTATCTATATATGTATGTATATATATATATATATATATATATATATATATATATATATATATATATATATATATATAGGATTTTCACAATTATGCGTGAAAATGTTGTAGCTTTTATGGTATTTGCCCAAAATATAAACCTAGTAGGCCGTTAGCTTACGCTAAAGGTCTGATGAGGGGGAGAGAGAGGGTAAAGGCACAATTGGTTTATATTTCCTAAAACTTATTTATATTTTGTATAATCACAAAATATTACAAAAAACATATTTTTACATGTAATTTTTTTTAATAACACAATATATATATATATATATATATATATATATATATATATATATATATATATATATATATATATATATTTGTATGTAATGTAAAATAGATAAATTTTTACAAACAATATTTTTTTTGTATTTATTTTACATAAAATATTTTTGTATGTATTTTAAAAATATATTTCCGTATAATATGTTATTACATTGCTATCATCTTAAAATATATTTTCATGTTTTAATAAAAAAGTTTTTTGCTTTCATGTAAATACGTTTTTAAGTACGTATTGTATGTAAAATATGTTTTTTTATGTATTTTAAAACTAGTTTTTCGTATTATACTTTATTACGTTGCTAATCTATAATATACTTTTACGTTATGTTGACGTCTTTAGTTTATTTAGTACTTGTCGTTTTGCTTTAAATCAACTAAAGACATTAACATAGCATAAAAGTATATTTTATTGTTATAACAACGTAATAACTTATTATATGGAAATGTTGTTTTTAATTACACAAAAAAAAACATATTTTACATAAAATAAATACGTAAAAAAATTTACGTGAGAAAAAAATTATTTTAAGAAAACATTAAAATATGTTTTAGAATCATAACAATGTAATAATATATTGGCTAACAAGGAGATTCTAATCTAACAACTAACTAGGAGGTTCTTGGATCAATCCCATGTAAAGATGATATTTAAAATTATTTGACGTTTTAAAAAAAAAAATTAAAATACAAAAATATATTTTAAAATAAATACTTTATGTAAAATAAATACATAAAACATATTTTTACATTTTCATAAAAAAAAATGTTTTGTTTTTTTTTTTTTTTTGCTTTCATCGTAAAAGAAGTTAGGGGGATAAAATAAAAATATATACCTTTGATAAATATTCAATCTTAAATTGGAATGTTAACCAATAAAATTAAAAGAATAGTAACTTGTCCTAAATGTTTTTGGGCTAAAGAATTGTAGCAGGCTGACTTAGATGTTGGGCTAAAGCTCTATCCCGCTGGACTTGGGATTGAAGTGAAAAAAGTCCGAAAGTTAAGGAGCTGTTTTTGTAAATATTGTCGAAGCCGGTACTTAAACTCATGATTGAGAGAACGATGTCATTTTTTCACTCACAATTCCACACACACTCGAAACTGGAAAAAGATGTCGCATCGTACAATTCACACATTGTGGATTTGCATTCATTAGAGTTCTTATTTCTGTCATTGGAAATAGTGTGTTTCATTTGTGTTAGAGATTTTGGTTTGTATAACTTTTAAAAATCTTCAAAGTTATCTTTGGTTTCAAGTTCAAACCTGATTTTCTTCATATATTTAATTCTTTGTTTTACCAGCAACATAAGTCAAATTGTAAACAATTATGTATATGAAACACGTTTATAGAAAACATAAAGAACACACGTACAAAGCATGAACCTTCATCAACAACATTAACACCGGCTACAAGTCATCGGCTCTTATTCTTTTACACTTCAATTCCCTGAAAAGAAACGAAACATGAATATATAGAGAAATTCATCTATAATCCCTGTAATTTCCATCCTTCCGTTTGCAAACAAAATTCTACAAAATAATTAAGTAAAATTACTTACTTGAAAATCTGCTGCAGCCTCAAGCGTCTCAATAATTGTCTCCATCGTAGGGCATCCTCCAAAACCATAGAAGGTTATGCACTCGTATGCAATTTCTGTAAAAGCTTCATAACAACTGCTATCGATTTGATCTCTTATAAGGGGATCAATTAATCTATCGAGTTCACTATAGTTGCGTATGAATAGATCTCCCAAATATTGTGGCTTATCATCATCTCCCAAGCTACTAGGCTCATTAGCCAATCTTCCACTAAACATTTCAACCAATATCATACCCAATGAGTACACATCCGCTTCTTTATGGAAAATGCTTTCTTCAAATATGGGATTCATGTAGAGTTCGATATCGACAGGTTTTTTATTGTGTCGGATACTTGGCTTATTTATGGGGCCTTGTATTGAAAAATGAAAATCACAAATTTTGGCTTCAAAATTTTTATCTAATAATACGTTTTCACTCTTGAAATTTCCATGTACAACATCATTGTCCTCACCAAGACCCGAGTGAAGGTACTCAAGTCCTCTTGCTGCCCCTATGCATATCTTCAACCGTTGTGCCCATGTAAGGGAACTCTTCTTATTAGGGTCTTTGATATGATCATTAACGCTTCCATTTGTAGCGTATTCATAAACTATAATCATTTCATTTCCTTCATCGCAATAACCAACGAAGGGGATGATGTTTTGATGTTGGAAACTCAAAATGATCTGGAGCTCATTACGAAAGTACTCCTGCTCTCCTTGGTTCAGGCGCTTGATGGCCACTAGTCGGTTTTGCCATTGTTCAGAGAGTTTTCCAGTATACACTGCATAAAATCTACCACCTCCGATACATGTATCTGCTTTGAAGTTTTCAGTTGCCAAGTTGATCTTGTCTAGTGGAATTCGAAAACTTTCTAGATTTCGTGTGGTAATTGAAGAAGTTGCATAGTTGTTCTGTAATTATAAACAAAACCGAGTTTGCTTATTTAGGTGTTGGCTTCTATATGTAAGAAATTAAATTCACTTCTTCTCATACTACTATTTCTTTTTTCTATTTCCGTAGAGTTTAGTAGTTCGTATAAATTAAACAATATCATGAAAGGCTGAATATTGATATCTATAAAAATTTATAAAGTTAAATGGACTATATAAATAAATTTTGTTAAGACAAAGACATTATGTAATATAACTACTGTTCACAATGTCAAATCAAGTTTTTTTTCTTTTTATTTTTAAAAAACGTTGCAAAGTTATAGAAATTGTCCTTTAGAAAATAAAAATTATAGAAATGATCACTATTTAAAAGTAAATTTACAAAAATGATCCATATTTTATAATAAAATTTCAAAATTATCCTTGCATAAAAGTGATATTATGGAAATAGTCCTTGTTACAACAGCAATCTTACAAAAATAATATTTGTATGATAATGAAATTGTTGAAATATATACGCATATCAGACTTAAAATTTTTAATTATTTTGGTTTATATTGGCTTAATAAATCGCTACAACAAATATGTATCTTCACTATCATATATATAACAACTAGGATGATCTTACCCTTTGCGAAGGGAGACCAAACCTAGCGAAATAAGATCTGGACCAAACTTGGCAATATAAAAAAGTTCTGTAGCTAAAGTTTGACACCCAAAAAATATAAGGACCAAACATGGCAATATACAAAAGTCTAGGGACAAAACTTGCTGATACATAAAAGTCTTGTGGTGAAAGTATGAAACCCAAAAGTTACAAGGACCAAACCAATATGTATAACTATTGTTGCAAAAATATAAATCATAAAAGTATATTATTCATTTGTGAATTGAAATTAAATACTATAATTATATTAATACGGGGTCAAAGTAGTCGTGAAAAACGTTACTGACAAATAATATTTTAGTTTATCTTGATGTTAGTCACTGACTTGTGGCACATGCAAACGCATTACATGATGAAATCAACAAGTTTATCTTTTTATATGGTCAACACTCAACAATGATTTCATTCATTCTATAAAATTATATTTTCTTTAAAATAATCAAATGAAAGACTTACTTGAAGATCCATTGCTTGCTCAATCTTCCGAATGATCCTCTCCATTGTAGGGCGTTCCTTTAAACTCAGGTTAACACACTCATAAGCAATTTCATTAAACATACGAAAAGACCTCATATCAATATGACCCTTTAGAATGGGATCAATCAACTTTTCTAATTCATCATCTTGTTGGTCGTCTTCATAATAGCTTCGCACTAAATCCATCAGATATTGTTCCTTAGTTTCTCCAAAGCACTTTGCATAAGCAAGCATCCCACTCGACATCTCAAACAACACAACTCCAAATGAATACACATCAGACTCTTTCCATAGTCTACCTCTTTCATTATAAATGGGATCAATGTAAAACCTCGTACCCGAAGCCTTTGTAAGGAGTTCGGAATCTGGTTGGTTTCTTGGACCAAATCTTGACAAACCAAAATCACAAATTTTGGCATCAAGATTTTCATCTAGCAATATATTTGCACTCTTCATGTCTCTATGTATTACTCTCATGTGTTCCCCAAGACCCGAGTGAAGGTATTTGATTCCTCTTGCTACTCCTAAACAAATCTTCAGGCGTTGTGCCCATGTTATGCAACGTCTCTTATTAGGGTTTTGGAGGTGATGATCAAGGCTTCCGTTTGTAGCATACTCATAAACTAAGATCATCTCATTGGCATCATCACAGTAACCGATAAAAGGGATGATGTTTGGATGATGGAAACTGGAAACCATCTCAAGTTCGTGATGAAACTCGTTGTTTCCTTGATAACCATCTTGATTAAGACGTTTGATGGCTACTGTGAGGTTTTGCGAGTGTTTAGAGAGTTGACCTTTGTAGACCATACCGAATCCACCATCTCCAATCAGAGTATCGAAACTGAAGTTGTTTGTTGCGTGAATGATCTCCTCAAGTGGAATTCGATACTTTTCTAGGTTTACTCCTGAAGAAGACATTGTTTTTTTCTATGTTCTTTTTGATAATGGTGATTATGTATGGTTATGGTGGAAGCAACTTTGTTTTTTTGTTTATATATACAAAACAAAACCGATATTCTACTTGGAAACGTTGTGGCTTAAAGAGTTAAAGAATATTACATATTAGGGTTGACTACTGCACATGATGCCGCAACGTGTTTATTTTACATTAGCAAGACATAAAATAAATGCAAGGGTGGGAAGAAACGTATAATAATCAATTAATTATAATAAACTGTATGCTCTTTCGTGTTTATTTTATCAAAATAAAGATGTAAGGGTTGTCTTTGGGGAAAATGTGTAATTCAAAAATACTCCTTGTAATTTGAGATTTTGTGACAATTAAAGGGTAAGATATACATTCTTACTAATACACGGTAGAAAAGAAATTATAAATAATAAAAATAATAATAAGTAGCAAGTTTATGATTCTTTTAATAGAAGAGAGTGATTGAATGTATGACGTTGTCTCAAAGGTTAAATGGTACTTAATATACGCATATCCACATAAATCAGTAAAAATTTAAAAAAAAAAAATAAATAATCATAATAATAATAATAATAATAAATCAATTTGTTGTATTTTTTGGTCAGTTTAATATGATATATTCTGGTTACACTATATGTTTCCTAATCATCATTCTATATCAATATTATTTTAATGTATTTTCATACATGGTTATTGTTGAAACATGTATATAATTGCTTTTTCTGTCATTGCTGAAGTATTTTAGCAAGTATAATTACTTATCTGATAATTAAAAACTTATAAACAAAAATATACCGTATAATGCTTTTGCAATATATGTCGATTTTCTTATTCATGATAAGATTTTTGGTTGATTTATTTGTCAACTTGCTATTATTCATAAACAAATCAATGGTGGGTACCTACTAGATTATTGATCGATATTCTATATATTGTGAAATAATAAATAAACAAAATGATGAATTGATTGATCTAATAAAAAAACTATTAAGATGGTCGATTAACTTGACTTTATAGAGATCTAAAATAAATATAGTTTTCTAGATCTAGATCTACATTGTATTCATTTAAACATTAAGGTGTTTGTTTTGAAAAAGTAAACGTTTGCAGTTCGTAAATCATATATGTAGAAGAAAATATGGAAAACGTCTTTAGTCTGTAAAAAACCTGTTTGTTTTTTAAAGTTTGCAGATTATATAAATGATATTAAACCACATTGATCATGGATGATAAAACAAACAAATCATATATACATACACACATTAACCACATTGATATCTAGATGATAGTTAAAGAAGATGGTGGTGGTGACAGATGGTGACGACGGTGATATGGTGAGGTGGTGGTGGTGGTTAAGGTGGCGGAGGTAGTGGTGGTAGTGGTGATTGTAGTTATGTAGGTGATGGCGGTGGAGGTAGGAGAGGAGGTGGTGGTGGTGGTGTCATAGATGGCAACAATGGTGGCGGTGGTAGTGGTGGAGGTGGCAGCGAGGGGTGGTGTTGGCAAAGGTTGTGGTAGTGGTGGAGGTGACGAATATGATGACGATGGTTGAGGTGGTTGAGGCAGCGATGGTGGTGGTGGCAGAGGTGGTGGTGGTGTTTGCGATAGGGTGGTGGAGGTGGAAAAAAAATCATGGAAGAAGAAAACGTGAAAAAATATGACTTTTTTAGAAGACTTTTTCAATATCTTCTACAAGAAGAGGACATTCAAACCTTTTTGGACAACCCAATTATTGAAGCTGAGTAGCAACTCCAAAAATATTATTGAAACCAGATTGAACTCGCTTTAAACAATTGGTTTGGGGGCTTAATGGGTATGGTGTCAATCCATACACACTCCCGAGGTTGGCGAAAACCCTTATCCAGCCCAAAGGCCTAGTAACCATGTCAGGAAAAGGCAAAGTAAACCGAGATTACCATCCCGACCTACAAAGGAACCCACAATCCATACTCAAAATAAAATGCTTTCTTGGTACAAAAACAATGATATCCCAGAAATCAGGAGAAAAGGCCCGGGATATATTATTTTATAAAAACAATAGTGACTACCAAAGGACAATGTCAATACTCGGATATATGAAACAACCAAAAGTCTTCCTATAAGTATAAATACTCCTCCCCGTTTATCAAGAAGGTACGCAACAAATAGATATCACAATTCATTTTTATCACATACGTATTATGATCCCAAGTCCTAAGTTTGGCATCGAAAAAAAAAAGGATTTTGGTTCATTTTTCATCATTCATAGTTTACTCTACTCGTATGTTTTGTACATGTTGTAATTGTAAGTATGTGAGAAGCTATAATCTTGTTCAAATAGGAACATTATCTTCTTCAACTGTAGACGTTATGATTTATTTTTCATGTTGGTTAGGCGACACATAAAGGTGGTATATATACCCATTAATTTTGTATGTACACTTTGGGATTTAGGAGTGGGGGAAATTGAAGAAGGTGTTTATGGTTTTAATTTATAAAGTATGAAACATAATTCTTGTTGTGGAAAGCCGCAAAAATTAGGAAGAAAAAATCTAAAGAAGACAGTATAACCATGTACAACTAAAGGCATACGATCACAAAGGGAATAACATGAGTGTCACGATACTCTACTTAAGTCGGGATGAACGGATGAAATGGTAATGTTCTATGAGACTTGTTGCAACCTATAATGCTTGTTTTCATGTTGAATGGATGAATTTATGAAGCTCGACTAAATAAAGACTAAAGAGATGATATCTGATCTGGTTAAGATCTTAAGATCTTAGTCAAGATCCTAAGATCCTAGTATAGTTTAAGTATAGTATAGATCTTGTTTCAAGATAGATCATGCATTCCATTAGTTCACGTCACATTGACGTATATTAATATTATATATGGGTTATAAAGACCTTTTTAGACGTATAGAATCTTAATAGCCCGTTGACTCTTTATAGAAAGTCAAAATCAACAAGAAATAAGGACATTGTAAACCAACACACCCTTGTTTTCACTCACACTCATTGATTCGAATCTAAACAACAAAACCTTCTACAATAGTCTTATTGTTCTTTACTTCATTTCTACAAAGAATGAGTATATATATAATACTTGTATCTATATCGAAGAATAAAAGTTTCATGCTCTTGCATTCCTTCTTTCATCCAATGCCTATTTCAGAAAAAAGAGAGAAATGTGTTAAAAAGAAATTTCCCTTTTTGGAAAGGCAATATAAAACCTTATAGAAATTGTCAATAAATGAAATTGGTAAACAATTTAGAATGGTATACCTTGCTTTGGAACATTCTCATGGTGAGCACCAATGTATCGCGCATTCTACAAAAATAGAAGAGTTAAATCCAAGAAATAGCAATGTACTTTTATTAATTCACTTAATTATAACATTTAACTTTCATTTTTTTTCCTATTATACTTTGAAAAAATCTACCCAATATAGCAATGTCATCTAAATACAAAGCATTTTTCACTGTTATAATTGAATAGATTTCTCAATATAGCAATGTCATCTAAATACAAAGCGTTTTTCAAAGTACAATACTTAATAAAATATAAAGTGAAAGTATAACGTTATAACAGAAAGAAATGAAAGTAGGATGTGATAATACAAAAATAAATGTAAATATGTTATTATTTCTTACATTTATCCCAAAAAAGAAAATACAATACAATAATATCTTGTTGACAAGAAAGATTGATCCATAAACCAAAGCCCTCAACAAATTGTTGAATATCAAGGCCAAGTATTAAAGTTGAAGCAAAAAGGTTGTACATTGACTTTTGAAAAGTCAAAATGTATTAGTGTAGGCATTAATTCTGCCATGAAATTAAATAAATTTTTTTAAAAAAATAGACGACAACAATTTTGAATCTGAAAAGAAGTTTGTTTGACCTGAAAAGTCAAAGAGTAACATCTCTTTGTTTGTAATAAGAAAATAACACTAAGTAAAATAAGAACATAAAGTTAAAATATTTTACCTAACATCATGGAATGTATTAAAAGGGTGTGAAGATCCATCCGAATATGTCAACACAAATTGTGTAGTAAGACCTGAAGGGATCTTTATCTGCAAAAACATTATAAGAGAGAAAGATATATGACAATTTATCAAAATCATAAACAATCTGCAAAATCTCAAGCTTTTTAGGGCTATTTTCGATGATAATGGATGACGAGGGCATTTACGTCTTTTGCACAGACCAAAGATCAAGAGTGGATCATACATTTTTATTTTTGGAAACTTTCCAAGTTAAAATTTACCTATTCATACACCATAATCATTAGGAAAGATCAAAGATTCGCCAACTTTTTTCATTGTTGAAGGGTATTTTGGACATTTTACTAAAAGTTAAGAAGGTATGTACTTTTTAGGCCAGTACATTACATTTTGAACATATTTTGTTCAAAATCGCTTGTTCAATTTCCTTTCAAGAAACGATGATTTGCTTGGAATAGAAAGTCGAAGCCAAATATATTTAGAAAGTCAAATAGTCAAATATTAAAATACATCTTTTAAAGTATATAAAAAAATGAAAATATATTTATTTTACATACCGATACATCATTGGTATATTTGCCTTGGATGAAAATCTCTTGTGTCCGATTAATCTTTACTTGATAATTCGATCTCCTTAAAGTGAAAGTTGTTTGCTCCCAATTTTCAGAGGAATCCATCTGCAAAATTAGTCACATATTTGGGTTAAAGAAACCTTAAATTTAACAAAACTTCTAAGGGCAAATTGGTCTATTTATTCCAATTTTGCAAGTCAAAAACTTCTAAGGGCAAATCGGTCAATATACTTCCATCTGCAAAATCACTCTCAAGTTTTATGACATGTTTGGGTTAAAGAAAAACCTTAAATTTAACAAAACTTCAAAGGGCAAAATAGTTATTTTATTCCAATTTTACAAGTCAAAAACTTCTAAGGGCAAATCGGTCAATATACTTCCATCTGCAAAATCACTCTCAAGTTTGATGACATGTTTGGGTTAAAGAAAAACCCTAAAATTAACAAAACTTCAAAGGGCAAATTAGTCAATTTATTCCAATTTTGCAAGTCAAAAACTTCTAAGGGCAAATCGGTCAATATACTTCCATCTCTAAATTCACTCT